TCAGGTTTGTGACCAGATGTAGCAAGGGCATGGCGTAGATTTGGAATTCTGATTGCAGCAGCAGATCGCTCCCCGGAATAGCTGGGGGTTCCGGAAGCCCCATACAACAGCCCCTGGCCAGCCCCAAGCCGATATAAAGGCGGCCCCGCGTGCTCCCCCAAAGCCGCCAGCTGCGGACCTGCACCATCCCCTCGCCGCAGGCCTTAGCCGAGGCCCTCAAGACGAACGGCAGCGTCTCCACAATCTACCTCGCTGGCAACGAGATCGGTGATGAGGGAGCCAAGGCCCGGAGTGCTACGGAGTGCTCCGAAGTTAAATTCCCGCCAAGCACTCGAACAAGGCCCAAGGCCTGGTCCGGGGCCCAAAAGCCCAAAGCCCCGAGCGTTTTTGTCCACAACTTCCGTTCAGACATGTCAGACGGCATCGGAGGGCTTCGGGTTTAGGCTTCAGGGTTTAAGCTCAGGGTTTAGGGTTGAGAGCTTGCAGGTTACAGGGCTTTTTCATCCCCTCAGTTTGCGGGGGGTCTTAAATGGTGACCCTTCAGGGAACCAGGGGTCTGAAATGGGTCTTAAAGAGGCATTTTAGACCCCGGCTTGCCATTTCAGACCCCCCTAACCTAACCTAGAGCCTTGAACGTCGGTGTCGCGCTCTTCGGGCCCGGCTGTCGTCTTAGCCATGTTGCAGATGCAGTCTTTATAGCCAACAAAAGGTCTGAAATGGGTTGCCCGGATTATGCCCAGTCCCTGGGAAGTAGCACAGTTAGGGGTCTAAAATGGGCGCCCTAGGCCCCTCCCCTGACAACCTGAGGGGATGCTTTTTCTGGGCTCGCACATTTTGTTTAGCGATGGAATCATCGTCTGTTGACTCTGACCAGAAGCACTGTGGTCCATGGAAGTAGTCCCGCATATTTCGCGGGACCACCTCGCCCCTCCGCCCACATACTCCACTCGCAGGCAATATGGCAGAAAGAGTACGGTGTACGGGATATTACGGGAGGGTGTAGTCGAGGGACTTCGATGACAACCGTATGTACAACTCTAGGGACAATCACGCTTCTTAGAAGGCATCGTCAGGAACTGACATAGCGGAAGCGATAGCCTCCCGGAACGCGCCCCAAGGCCATTGGTGCGCAAAGCTGGTGCAAAGCTAGTTGTGGCACCCGAAAGCGTGTGAAGGAAGCCTGAGCAGCCTTGAAGACCATCATGTTTCAGAACAGAATTACGCGAAATTGAGCCCGTTGATTGGCAAGTTGCGCCTTCGCGAAGTCACGATTTGTCCCATGCATAAGCCTGAGATCGCACATTCTTCCACATCGAGGCCTGAAGTGAATTCAGGCCAGAATGCTGCGCTTTACCAGTTTTGTTGGTGTATTGCTCCTTCATGTTGCTGTAATCCTTCTTCTCATGTGTGCTGCTAAACGTTGCTACTTCGTACTGTAGTTGATCTTCGTAGACGACGTATTGCCTTCGAGTGTAGAATTCTTTTTCAGGTTTGTGACCAGATGTAGCAAGGGCATGGCGTAGCTCCCCGGAATAACTGGGGGTTCCGGAAACCCCATACAACCTGGCCAGCCCCAAGCCGATATAAAGGCGGCCCTGAGTGCTCCCAAAGCCGCCAGCTGCGGACCTGCACCATCCCCTCGCCGCAGGCCTTAGCCGAGGCCCTCAAGACGAACGGCAGCGTCTCCACAATCTACCTCAATAACAACAAGATCGGTGCTGAGGGAGCCAAGGCCCGGAGTGCTACGGAGTGCTCCGAAGTTAAATTCCCGCCAAGCACTCGAACAAGGCTCGTCGCTTTCTTGAGGATGCTTGCAGACAGGTAATCGCGTCTATTTCCATGTCCGAGCCCGAAGGCTGGCGTGAAAACGACCTTTCCCTGCTTTCTGATTACGCTTGCCTTTGTGCAACCTAGACCCGGTCTTGTAGAGATACGTTCTCTGGTCCGGGGCCCAAAAGCCCAAAGCCCCGAGCGTTTTTGTCCACAACTTCCGTTCAGACATGTCAGACGGCATCGGAGGGCTTCGGGTTTAGGCTTCAGGGTTTAAGCTCAGGGTTTAGGGTTGAGAGCTTGCAGGTTACAGGGCTTTTTCTGGGCTCGCACATTTTGTTTAGCGATGGAATCATCGTCTGTGGGCTCGGACCAGAAGCACTGTGGTCCATGGAAATAGTCCCGCATATTTCGCGGGACCACCTCGCCCCTCCGCCCACATACTCCACTCGCAGGCAATATGGCAGAAAGAGTACGGTGTACGGGAGGGTGTAGTCGAGGGACTTCGATGACAACCGTATGTACAACTGTAGGGACAATCACACTTCTTAGAAGGCATCGCCAGGAACTGACATAGCGGAAGGGAACGCGCCCCAAGGCCGTTGGTGCGCAAAGCTGGCGCAAAGCTACTTGTAGCACCCGAAAGCGTGTGAAGGAAGGCAGAGCAGCCTTGAAGACCATCATGTTTCAGAACAGAATTACGCGAAATTGAGCCCGTTGATTGGCAAGTTGCGCCTTCGCGATGTCATCGTTTGTCCCATGCATAAGCCTGAGATCGCACATTCTTCCACATCGAGGCCTGAAGTGAAATCAGGGCCAGAGTTCTGCCAGGAATCCCATTTGAAGCTGCCCTGCCCTGAAAGCGACACCCTCTTTCCTATACAAATCAGGATGGCAGCTCTCTTTGCCAGGGTAACCTCGAAGGTAACAGCCAGATCCAAGCCTTCGACGCGAAAATCCCCGGAGCCAAAAGCCCAGCCCCGAGCAGAAAGGTGGCAAATAGAGGGGCGACCCCACAGGAAATTTCCGCGTATGACTCCCACATACTAAACCCTGGAGAGAGTGGGTCGTAGATGGCTTAGCTACACCAGTTTTCCAGACTTGTGACCCGATGTAGCAACAGCAGAGTGTAGGCTTCGGATTATTGCTGCAACAGATCGCTTACCGCAATAAGTGGGAGCCCTGCCGGAAAAGCCGGAAAAAGCCTGGGTCCCAGAATCCCGTACCATCATCCCTTGCCAGGCCAAAGCCGATATAGCAAAGGCCTGCGCGACGAATCAGGCGGGCCCTTCTTGAACACCTTTTTCTGTCTGTCATGCTTCGCGCATCTGGATACAGAGCCAGAAGTGTCTGACAGCAGTGTCGAGCGCCGCAGCACGTGTCGGGCAACCGCGGGTCGGGAAGCAATTCGGTCTGTCGGAAACTGTACCATACCATAGCTGTGTGGCCTCACCGTCTGGCCACTACATTTGGGTGGGATCCTGCCGGGCTTCAAGATGTTTCAAGTTTGTGGTCATATGACTATGGTGACTATGGCCTGCCCTTCAAGATCATCGATAGGAATCAGACCGAATGCAGAGGGCTCTTTTTGGCATCGGGCATGTGTCATGGGGCATCATGGTGGGAAGTCACAAAAATCACTGAAATTACAACTTGTGAAATGGGGCTCTGGGCTCAAGTCAAGTCGCGGAGTGCCCAGGACTACGTCCTGATGTTCTCCCTGCCACGTGTGGCTTACTTTGGCGGTACCAGCTCCATCTTTCTTGGTTCCACATGCAACTCTTTTGGGAGCACTGTACCATACATCGAACAAGCACGGAACCATGGCAAAATGCGCGCATTTTCCGTATCCATCAGCACAGGTTATTGCAAGACCAAAGCTTCAACATGCCTTTTTGAATTATTTGACTTCGAACGTCCCCACCCTCTCTGGGTAGAGATACTCTGGGGTTGGGCACTCCAGGGACACTCTGGACAGAAAACTGCTTTTTGATGAAGCACGACGGGGGTTCATCTGGCGACTGCACTTGGCCCTGTTTCCCCAAACCCCCTTGTGGGCTCAATTTCCGCACAACCTCACGGCTGATGGCGGCCATGGCAACAAACCACCATTTTCCCGTATCATTGTTCCGTCTGAAAGAGCGTCGGGTGTTCTTCCCCACCCTCGGTGTGGAGGAGTTAGATTTTAAACTCAACTCTTCTCCTCGCCCGGTCTACTCCTCGCTCATCCATGGAGTGCCCAACCCCAGAGTGTGCCTGGAGTGCCAACCCCAGAGTGTCCCTGGAGCGCCCAACCCCAAACTGTCCCTGGAGTTAGAATGCCTAGCCCCAGAGTGTATGGGGCACGGAAAAAAAACAGGTGAGTGAGCTGGAGACCTCCAAACTGAGTGTTAAATTGGGTAAGCAAATTCGTGCGCGGCCGGATGTTGAGGCATGTGAGTTTTGGATGCCACCCTTGAAGTAGATTTTTGAGGCAGCTGCAAACCAGTTTCGTGTGCTTGGCTACATGCTACCTAGCAGGAGCAGAAAGACAATGAACGCTACTCGGCTGAAGATTTGCAGTAGTTTTTGGGCTATGAATCAGGCATGTGCAGATTCCGCCCTTAAACATAGATGTGTACAGAATCTGGCACTTCTTTTTGATCAATGTCTGATCATGCTTTTGATTACGTTTTGGGACCGTCTAGGTATGGTGTATGAGAGCACGGTACTGACACTCGCTTATCGAAGATAAACCTGCTCTAGAAGCTATTTGACTGATTCGGCATTGGATTCGAGGTGTGACCTCCTCCAATTCATTTTGTAAGTGTTCCTCAGTAAGTCTAGATAACATTTGGGAGCTTCACAAAGTGGGGCATTTCAGATTAGATATTGTGTTGACAAAGTGGTCCAGCAGGTGATTAGGAATTGTGCTTTCAAGTTTACCTCTATAGAACCTGCGATTTCATCTCACCCTTCCATGAACCGAGAACATCCTTATAAAGGGAGAGTGTGAGGGTGGGCAAATAAATTGGAGTTGGAAGGCCGTTTGTGAGAGCTTTCAACTGCGTGTAGCATAATTTTGTTGGCCATGTATCACGAAGGGCTTGTGCTCGGACAAGGCACTGCCTGCACATGCGGTACAGTAAGGTCGCCAACAACTGGAGAAGTGGCAGAAATCGGGCAGGGCTCCGCTGCCAGTGGTCCGCCTTTGCTTCGTCGGCCGGGGTCGCGCCGGAAAGACAACCACCATGAGGCAGGTGATGCCGTGGGGGAGTGTCACTTTGTCACTTTTCGAGCTTTTTAGCAAAGACCTCGTGTGGCAATTAGTTCACCAGTCACCAGTCCGCAGAGTCCATTTCGATGTAGAGTCTCTGTAGTCGCTGATGTGGTAGAGGTCATCTGTATACCGTGTCCCGGGCCTTGTGCCAAGGCGGCTGAGGGGCGAGCAGCCAAGTCACGAGGAAGTCTCCACACACGGTGTGCACGTCTGGGCCGGACAAGCCCAGGAGCATCTCTCGCATAAGTGGAAGGAGTGCGATGCGCGAATGTACGATGAGATTGCCCGTCGTGAGCTGAGGAGGAGGAGGAGGAGCGCCGCGGCAAGCTCCACGGACAAGCAAGAGGCGCTGGTCGAAAGGCAGCCAGCCCCAGAGTCCCCAGGGATGCCTCCGGAAGAGTCCGAGCCCGCGGATGCGACCTCAGGCGCGACGGCCAAGGCAAGTCAGCCCGATGCCGAGCCGAAGCAAAACCTGCCAGAGACCGTGGGACCGCGGATACTGGACGACCTGGCCTTGCAGTCCAGAGGAGAAGGCGAAGATGCAGATCCCGCGCTGCGGCCCAGACTCCAGTGCTGGGACTTCCCCGGCCAGCAGGCCTACGTCCTCTGCAACCTGCTCTACTTCCACGGCCGCGGCATCTACGTGGTCTTCTGCGACACGAGCTGTGGCTTGGAGGAGGCGTGGCAGGATCTAAAGTTCTGGTTGTGGGCGGTGGCCCAGTATGCGGTGGACGCTGACGATGGCTACGGTGGCTTGGCCTCAAGATCCTCGCAGAGCTCTGAGTCGGCCCCCCCAGTCGTGATCGTCGGCACCAAGTGGGCCAGTCGGCATCCAGACTTCGACGAAGAGAAGATGGAGGAGCGCATCGACCTCTTGCTTCAACAGCTGCCCCGCCTGAGCCGCCAACTTCAGCGAGTCGGGGACAACCTGGGATGGCTGCATCCGGTGGAGAACTTCTCCGAGAATGCAGAAGCAGACATCGGGCCCTTGCGAAGCAGTCTCCAGCGGCTCGCGAGCGAAGTCCTCTCGCCCATTCCAGAATGGGAAAGAACGGCGCCGGCAGGTTCTGCCACGCCACCGCATGTCGGACTGCAGGCAGAGCTACATCCAGCAGCGTGGTTGCTTGCGCACGACCTGCTTTCCGAGCTGGGCGAGTCCTTCGATCTCAAGGTCGACCCGAATGACCTTGACGCCAGCCTTTCGCATCCGCGCCAAGTCGGCGTAGAGGGGTCGGCCGTGCTGTCACAGGACCTGCAAGGGACCCATGCTGTGCTCGGGCACCGCTTCGTGGCCCCGGAGTCCGCCCATGTGAGCTGGAAGAGCGGGCATGATGATGATGATGATGATGATGATGATGATGATGATGATGATGATTATTATGATGATTTTGATGATGGGGGGATGATTGTTGTTCGGGTGCAGTGCCACTCGCTGCGACTCGAGCAAGTCGAAGCGTTACTTGGTGGCATGAGGCCAGTCGGCATTTCCAAAGAGGAGGTGCCCGGGGTGCTGCGCCTTCTACACTCCTTGGGGACGCTGTTCTGGTTCGACACAGATGAGTTGGGGAGATGCGTGGTGTTGAACATCAGGAGGGTGGCAGTGGCGCTCTCCTCCATCATGAGCTTGCGATTCTGGGAAGAGAGTGGCCTCGAACACGCGGAGGAGTACAAGAACACGATCGATGACGTCAGCAGGAGCATGACCCAGGCGGTGTATCGCTTCAAGACAAGCGGCATCATCACTTGGGATCTCCTCAAGAGGCTGTGGGCCAGGGAAGGCATCACCGATCTGGAGAGGAAGGTCATGCTGGAGATCATGGTGTCGCGAGGCCTCGTTCTGAGAAGGCTTGTCCAAGACGAGTTTACGGTGCCGTGCTGTTTGCCTACGGCCTTGATTCCGGAACCTCGCGCTGCCGAGAGCAAGATCGTCTATCTTGATGTCGCTGGCTTCATCTCGTCGAACCTCTTCCCCGAGATTGCTGGACGGCTCTGCAGGCTGAGAGCTGCGGCTGCTTGCAATCGAAACAGCTCAGAAGGGCAGACTACATTGAGGCCCGGGGCACCCCAAATCTTCCGGAACCGCATGGAGTTCCGCACAGACAAGGATGCCTTGGTCAGCATCTCGCTCTTTCCGACCACCCCCCGCATGCAGCACAAGCTCCTCCGTCTGGCGGTCACGCAGGCAGGCGCCCGTTCAGCCGAGGAGCTCCAGGCGGACATTACAGTCCGGGACATTGTCGAGGACCTTTGCAGAGCCATGGGCCTGAGCAGCAAGTCGGTGCACGTGCTCGGCACCGAGGCCCTGACGCAGCACCCCGTATTTCGAGGCGTCGATTGCGCGCGCATCAAGGACATCGAGGGCTTCGTCAGACGCACGCCTTGCCTCCAAGCCGACTGCAACGCCACCTGCGCCCTTTGCAAGCTGGCCGAGTTGCTGGAAGAGCGCTTCGACGGCGACTTCAGTCAAGGCCTGCGGGACGCCATCGATCGCTCCTCCCTTCAGAGGCTGACACGTCCTGCTGGCAGCTTCCGGTTCCAGCAGGTGCTCCACCCCTGCGATGTGGACCTTGAGGAGTATGTCGTGGTAAGCACGGTAAGCATGCAGGCTACGGATCTGAGGGAGGCGGAGGAGACACCGAAGGGAGCCGCGGGAGCCGCCATCAGAGAATTGATGCAGCTGCTCCAAAAGCTCTGCAAAGGAGCTTCCACAGCCAGCTCTGAGACGACTCTGCATGTGGTTGCGCTAAAGGCTGGCAAGAACCCTGAGAAGCCAGAAGAGTCTCTGAGCTGGTCCGTGAACGAAGTGATGGCGGGAAAGAAGAAGTGCCTGCAGAGTGCGGAGCCAGTGAAGCTGGAGGATGCTTTGCAGCAGCAGGGGGGACGGACGGCCAAGATCGACTTTTACGTCAAGTGCGGGCTTCTCGAGAGGAGCATGGAAGACGCGCCGCGCTTCTATGAGCTCACGAACGTGATCCGCTGCGGCTACGATCCCGGCAACAGCTTGGTCCACCCGGTGACTCCCGAGGTTGACTTCCTTCATGTGGTGGAGAAGGGCATGCGTGAGTACTCGGGCCCGCATCCCAAAGCCATGAAGCTCGCAGCTCTTCTGCACCGTGCCCACGACGATGTCTGAAAGCCTGAACAGGGCTGAATGTCCCGACGTCTAGACTAATTATCTGATTATTTGAGTATGTCTTTATCTCCCAAGCCTCAAGGCACGCTGCCAAGCAACTCATCAGGCAGGGTTGAAGTTTCAAATGTGACGCTGGAGTGCGGGATTGTTTCGCAGCTCACTCAGGCGAAACGCCTGTGGGAGCACAGCGCGTACTTGGCCCAGCGGTCCATCGACGTCGAGAAGCATTTGGCTGTGCTCCAGGCCCTGAAGCCGATCTTCGGAGGATGGCCGGCCCAGCTGGCGCAAATCGCCGCGCATGCGGAGACACTTCGGGACATGCTGTCGAGGCGAGGCCCGGTGGTGCTTTGGGGAACCGTGGGGAAAGTGAGTGGCCCTGAGGACAAGCTTGCACAGAGAAGCGCTGAGCGACGTTCCATGTCTGAGCCGCTGCCTCAGACCTGCATTCTGTAGGAACTCTTCAGACAAGGAAACTAGATTGCTCCCGGCGTGCGCCATGTGGCACCCAGGTGAAAGCTTGAGAAGGCTCCAGGTGCAGCTCAAGCTGGAAGGGCCCGGGCGGGAGGCGGCAATGGATGGTAGCGCATGCATCGAGGATGTCCTGACGAGACTTCAGCGGATCCAGGAGGGTTCACAGGATGTCACGAGCTTGCCGGCGAGCGCGTGGGAAGCTGTATTGAAGCAAGTCCAGGATGTGCTGGAGGGCTGCGTGGAGCTTGCAGTGGTCAACTGGTTCGGCAGCTCGCAGAACTTCAAGCACCCCATCGTCGAGCCCCTCCGCGCGCTGTGGGACTTTCCCTCAGACCATCCGCCCGTCGGGGCTCAGGTGGCCATGAAGATGAAAGCCAGAAGTGGTCAGGAGTTGCCGCGCAAGAGCCTCAGCGTGTGCTCCTGGAACGTCCTAAACAGGCACTACATGAAGTTCATCGAGGAAGACTTGCAGGGTCTCAAGGGCTCCCGCTTGCAGCAGATAAGTGCCGAGCAGAGGGCACAGGAGATCGTGGACGCCGTCATGGAGATGCTGTGCCACGAGTCGCATCCGAAAGCCGTCCTCTGCCTCCAGGAGTGCTGGTCCGAGCTGCTCGACCTGCTGGAGAAGGAGCCAACCAAGACATGAAGTACGAACTCATCTATAAAGTGAATAAATGCGAATAACATAGCAGGAACAAAGAATACCGAAAAACACTACTACTGTGACTCCTAAGCCACGCGGGTTCTTTTTTAGAGTAATGAGAAAAGTCACCTATGCAAATCCAAATGCTGTGACTCCTAAAGCACTGGGATTGAAACAATCTAGATTAAAGGCTTGGAGGTATCTGAAACCCTTTCCCTTCGGAGGTAGATTCTCCAGGGGGGGGGGTACCATGCTATTCCCCACCCCCAACCCCCATCCCCCCACCAGAATCTGCTCGAGAAGGAGCTGCTTGCGGTGGGCTTTGACATGCAATGCACAAGTGCAGACAGGAGCCAGAAGAACCAGGAGGCTGGGAAGAGGGTGCGATTGAATGATTGGGATTCGATCATGGTCGATGCCTTTTCTCTGCCTGTGCGATAGCGGTGTTCTATTCCATGCACCAAAGTAGGAACTACAAGAGATCCTGAGAGCGGAGCGTGAACAATTGTGGCCAATGTGCGTGTGGCACAGGCAATCATCTTTGATAAGAGTTTGCTCGAGCTCCGTGACTACCGGTGCTGCCCGTACGCGTCGGACCCGAAGAAGGCGGACCTTTTGCATGACTGGGTGAAGAAGCTGAATCAGCATGTGCATTCTGCATCATTCTGCAGAGTCCTTGGTTTAAAAATTGCGGTGGGGGGGCATGAGGTCTTTGAAATATTTCAGGCCCAGCTTGGGGAAGGTCTGTTGGACAACGGGGGAAAGGGGGGGCGGGGAAGCCCCCTCAGCCAGGTTCTGATAAAGTTCATACTCAGGCTTGATAGATCCTGCGTTTTCAGGCGACGGGTCAGCATCCCAACCCACCCCCCACGGAAGAAGAAGGTAGGTGATTGCTGCAACGCTATGCAATCATCCAGGTTGTTGCCGTGGCTCTTTTTCGCTGGCTGGGAGAAGCGGGCGATGATGGCCAGTTCCGGGTCATCACCACGCAGCTTGCCATTGACATTTCGTGTCTGTGGAACGCTCGCATTTCCTTTGCAAGCCTTGGTTGGGTTCTCCTAGGGCTTTAGGCACCTCCCGGGCCGGCCCTACGGGCCCGCGCGGCGGGAGTTCTGCGACTGCCTCGCCGGCCTCGTCAAAGAGGATTGCGGCTCCGTCCCCACGCTGTTGGCCGGCGACCTGAACTTCCCTGAGGAGGCCAGCAGTCAAGAGCTCCGTAGGATCTTGATAAGGCACTGCTCGGCAGGCGATTGGCCCGCTGCTCCGACGAACAGGCCAGCTGACGGAGGTGCACTTTGCAGCGATCCCGTACCCGACCAACATCTGCGACGTGGCACGGCAGCATGTAGTAGCATCTTGGCTGTCATGTGCAAGGGGCAGTGAGGGCGATCAGAACATGGTTTGTTCGTTTCGGGGTAGGGACCAGGAGTGCCGTGGTGAGGCGTCGTGGCTCCCGAAGAGGATCGACAACATCGCGTCTCTGTCGCCAGCTGGCCTCTTGGAGGACCGCTCAGAAGTCAAGTTCGCTGCCGAGTTTTTTCAAAGTCCGGACATCGGCCACAGCTCTGGGGCAATGCTTCGGCCTGCGTGCTTACCAGCATGGGCAGGTCAGAGCACTAGAAGCCGACGAAGTCCTCTCTGGCCTGCAGCGGGTCGTGGATCTTCTGCGCTATAGGCGTGTCCTTCGTGTTGAGGTTGGCTGTGTTGTGCCATGTTGCAGCCTCGTGGTGGCAATGTTTCACGTGCGCTCGCAAGGTGCCTGGGCCTCGATTTGCCTCCAGGCCCAGGGACACCAGGCGCATGTTGGGGGGGCTCGGGCTGGATGGCTCCGCTCACAAGGGATCTGGCTGCTTGCTGCGGTCTACACCCAGTCAGGCCCCGCGGCCAAGCTTCGGGGCTCCCGCGTCGCCCACCGCATTCAGGTTGGGTGAGTGACCCGAAGCCTGTGAGACTCCTAAAATCCTCCTCGCTGAGCCCCTGGCAGCCCTGGCAAGCCCGGAGCCAGGTCATCGCGGGGCGCGCAAAGATTCGGCAACAAGCGGAGGTGCGGGGTTTGACGTTCCCGGGGGTGTGAGGCTTCTGGGTGGTGGGCTGCAGCGAAATTCCTTGCAGGAGCTCGCAACCACTAAAGCTGAGAGTAAGCGCCTGATGCAGGGCGCAGCCGACCATAGCCGGAGAACTAGGTCAGGGAACGTGCGCCATTAGCAGGGGATCAGGGGATTTCGGAGTGAGGGAGAGGAGAATACGGGAGGCACGCTCGTCGCGCGTGCTTGCAGCCTCAAGCCGTGCAGGAGCTCGCGGCTGCCAAGGCCGAGATCGCGCGCCTGAAGATGGGCGGAGCCGAGGACAATTTTTCAACTTGAGTTGTCTCCGTTATCGGCAGAGTTCGAGCGCTGGCTGTGCATGTTGGTCTGTTGCCAGGCTGGCGACGTGCGCGTGGCCCCCGTCGGGAGTGGCGACCTTTGCGCGAAATGCAGCCCCTCGGTAGCTGCTGGACTCTTGCGGTGGAGCGCCATATCGCAGCCGCATCGGAGCTTGAGCACTGAAGCTACAGCTGCCCAGGCTGCCAGACGACTCGGGATGAAGAGGTGGGGATGGGCGAGCGAACAGCTAGCACCAGGAGCCGCGCTGAAGATAGATGCTGGATCTCACTCGGCGTAGGAAGCCCCCGGCATTTTTGTGCCTCGTTCTCAACAATTTCAATATTTCAATATGTAATATGATGTTCGATCTGCTCTTGCTCAGGAGACTCTGAGTCCGCAGAGATCGTGAGGCGCGTGCAGGATCGTGCGGGGGGGACTTCCTATGTACCGCTGTGTGCCACATGCCGGGTCAGCATGTAGACCATGCCAGAGTCAGACTCCATTCGGCGCTTGTTGCTTGTTCGCTTGCTTTTTTTCCTTAAAGAAATGTCTACACCCGGAAGGAGTATCGTAGGGTACCTGCCCAATCCCCTGCACCCCTCCAGAATACATTTTCGCCGTCCCCGGCTGCCCCGGGAGGGATGCCCGACCCGAAATGTATTCCCAATCCTCCCCCCCCCCCCCCCCCCCCCCCCCCCCCCCCCCCCCCAGAATACCTTCTGGTATTCCCGTGTCGACTGGTCACTCCCGACGTGCACTCAGGGGGAGCGAAGCTTGGCGAAGAAGGCTTTCATGAACCGGCAGATCTCGTGAAGCGAGCGCAGTCTGGCGGTATGCGAACTGCTAATGTAGGACAATAACGTAGGCCAGCATGCCGCAGGGGTGCGTGTGAAACATGCATATAACCCTGTGGGAATGGAATGGCACCGTTTGCAGAGAGAATGCAGAGAATACTCTCGAACTGCTCAGAGAGATAGTTTCTATCATGTTCTGCGTATTCCAAGCTGTCTTGGGAAGATGGATCCTTTGTACCTGCCCTTTCGGAGCCTTTGAATTTAATGCGTGTGCAGGGCCGTAGTATACGACTGACTCCAGCATTCCAGCCTCGCGGTACATGAAAATGTGAGATTGCGGAACTGGCCCTGAATCCTGAGCCCTACGTGCCTTGGCCATCATGGGCCTACACACAGGCCCAAAGGTGCCCTGAAGGCTCAGACCTTGCGTTGACCTAAACCTTATAAATGATCAACTCGTGATACCAATCCGCCACCCTCATAATATTATCACCTTCGTGCGGACGCAGATTATCCACCCTCTGTGCTGCCAAGTTAGAACCTTTTCTAGCACTAAAATTCAATTCCCACACCGCGTTTTTGACAATTACCTTTCATCCTTTTTAAAAGCCACATACCATCAATATGCCTTTCATCGCTGATTTCACGATGTTTCTGTCCTGGTTGTTTATATCCTTCTACCTTGTTTTCGAAATGATCCATTATCAACTTCTTCTCCATTTCCTTTTCAAAGGCATCGCTCTCAAAAAGCAACACTTTCTTAGAATCGTCAGACCTTGTGATTAAGCAAAGGCCCTATATGAAGTACCGAGTGCGGTTTTTCATATGTCAATGTTTCGGTGGAGCCAAGATCCAACCAAGCTGCGCCCAATACGAAACAACCTTGGCTGCAGGACCGGCCGGGACCGAAGACTGAATAAACCCTAAACCCTAAACCCTAAACCCTAAACCCTAAACCCTAAACCCTAAACCCTAAACCCTAAACCCTAAAATATTGAATGGGGTTCAAGACTTCATTCTTGGTTCCCGGAGTGACTTGTTTCCGAGTCAATGTTTCCATAACGACAGGCCCTCCATTAACAAATCACACAAGGTCGACAGAGAGGTTCGCGCAGCGTCCTCTTCCGGAATAGGGCCAGGGCAGATTGTCAGACTCTCCGGTGCGTAAAAGGCTGCAGTGTAGTGTGAAACATGGTCAGATGGGCTCATGGATTCTCATGTCTCAGGTGACGTGCCGTCGGGCTTCTTTGTCCGGAGATTGCAGGATCGAAGGCTCAGCAACTCAGGGGGCTTTAGGGGCCGCAATGGCCCGGTGCCGTTTCTGCCAGAGGTGTTGGATCCGCCTAAGCAGCCTGTGGCTCCTGGACTGCCGGGACCCAATAGATGCCAGCCCGGGCCCGACGGTGTTGGGGTACAAGCCGGGCAGGGCCTCGTTTCAAAGTGTGGTGCGTGCGATTCGGCAGCTTGTCTCCCCCTACTTCACGGATGCGGCCAGCCGGCTCCGGGCTTGGGCCATGTTGCTGCTTGTTTTTGCGTGCATGTACTGGGAGGTTTCGATGTCTATTCGCGTGGCTGAAGCTGTGAAGGAGATGCAAAACGAGTTGGTTGACAAGAGCTCGGAGACGTTTTGGCCGGCATTTTGGGAAGTTGTTAAGCTTCGCATGTTGGTGTGGCCGATTGGTCTCTGCAACATAGCTGGAACAACAGTCATCAACCTCGATTGGCGCAGGTACTTAACGGAACGGACGCTGAAGTTGTACGTTAACAAGGAGCAGGCTTTTTATCGGCTGGGGCTGCAGTATGGCAGCGTGGACAATCCAGATGCGCGCATTGCACAGGACATCGGTTCTTTCACACGTTGGTCGTGCAAGCTCATGAAGCATTTTGCCACAGATGTGTTCAAGATCTTCATGAATTCGTACGCGTTATTCCAGATCTCCCGGCGTCTATTCTATAGCCTGATCTGTTTCTCTCTGCTTTACACTGCTGTGTCTCTTGGCCTTTTTGCTGGGCCTTTGGTGCGCATCCAACGCCGAGTCTTGGCCATGGAGGCGAACTTGCGACACGTGCTGATGCGGCTGCGTGAACATGCGGAGTCGGTGGCGTTTTTTGGAGGGTTTCAGTATGAGCGAGCTTGCTGTGAGAAGGTGCTGAGCCAGGCGATTGGGGCGGAGTACCAGCAGAACGGGGTTTCCATGCTGTATCACCTCGTCACAGAGATGTTCAGGACGGGGCTGGATCTTCTCCCCACACTGGTGGTGGCTCCCATGTTCTTCTCAGGTCAGGTGACCTTTGGCACCATCCACCAGTCACGGCTCTTATTCAAGCACCTCATGAGTGGCATGATGGACTTGGGGAAGGAGCTGGCGGACATTGCCAAGATGGGCGCCGACTCCCTGCGCATCCAAGAGCTCTGGGATGCCCTTGCGGCGCTGGAGAGGGAGGAGGTCTGCAAGGACTGGGACTCCGAGAAGAGCAAGATCTACACGGACAGCGACGGGTACTCAAGCGGCCTCTCCCACTTTCAGCTCGAAGAGCTGCCACCTCATGAATCCCTCCGGCTGCAGGTGTCCGAGCTCACGCTGCTGCCTCCGCAAGGTGGCACACCGTTGCTGAGAAACCTGAACTGTAGCTTGCATGCGGGCGAATCGCTCCTCATCGAAGGCGCAAGTGGTTCCGGCAAGAGCTCCTTGCTCCGTGCCATTGCAGGACTTTGGGTGCAGGGTCAGGGGCGCATTCGTCGGACCAGACGGGAGAGGTGCTTCTTCGTGCCGCAGTCACCCTACATCTGCTTGGGATCTTTGAGAGACAACCTGCTTTATCCACTTCATGCAGGCCGAGAGGGCGACCCGCCACCCTCAGAGGAGGCGATCGGCGAGGTCCTGGAGTCTCTGGGCCTTAGCCAGCTTCCCTTGCGCTTTGGAATGGACCAGGAGGCAGGACTTCAACCCTGATCTCCCCTGAACGCACGCAGAACCTCCATCGATATATTCCCTCCCCCCCCCCCCCCCCCCCCCAAAAAAAAAACAAAAAAAAAACCCAGAACCCTAAACCCTAAACCCTAAAACCCCCCCCCCCGGAAGAGCCCTTCCAGAAGCACGGACGCCACCCCCCGGCAGGTGGACTGGCAGAAAATCCTGTCCGGTGGCGAGCAGCAGCGGCTGCAGCTGGCCCGGCTTCTGCTCCACGCGCACTGGGGCGAGGCTGGGGCCGGTCTCCCGAACCTTCGGAGCCGCTTCGTGAAGGGCCATCATAAAGATAAGGAACCAACAAAAAGTCGCTAAAGGCCCATTAAGCCCAAGCGGCTCCCCAAAACCAAGCCCTTAAAACTCCGTCAACAAGGGCCAAAAACATGCCTCAAGACTCCCAGCCTCAAAAACCACACCCTGAAGCACCCTAAACCTTAAACCTTAAACCCCAAACCATAAACTCCAAACCCTTGAAACAGCCAGAAACAAGTAAAGCCACAAACCAATACAGAGCTGATGCGAGGTGGAGCTGGCCCTCCTGGATGAGGCCACGTCGGCTCTGGACTTGGAAGCTGAACACCGGGCCTACGAGCTCCTCCGAAGCCGCGTCCGCTCCTTCCGGTTTAGGGGTTCAGGGGTTCAGGGGTTCAGGGGTTTAGGGTTTAGGGTTTAGGGTTTGGGTTTAGGGTTTAGGGTTTAGGGTTTAGGGTTTAGGGGTTGAGGCTTTAGGGTTCAGTGTTTAGGGGTTTAGGGTGTAGGGTTTAGGGTGTAGGGTTTGAGGTCAAGGGTGTATGCAAGTTTCCGGCAATATTGGGGACCCTTCTTCTGGGGCCACTTTGAAGGACTCTACATATACATATACATATACATATACATATACATATATATATATATACAATACAATACGATTGAGTACAAAGCATCATGCGATCTACATCATGCAAGATGATATTGTATGATGTGACAGGCTTGTTCGTAAGATACAGAACATAGGGTCTTAGGTGTGTAAATCCTGGAGCGCCTCTTTTGCCTGGGGTGGCCTTTTTCGGCACTCAGGTCCGCTGCTATGTCTCGGTGGGTCACCGGCCGCAACTCAGGGCCTTCCACACGCAACGCCTGAGCCTGACAAGCTGCAACTGGTCGAGAAAGTACCCCGGTCTCCTTTTCTTACAAGGAATGAATTGAGGCTGATGGTTCAGGGGAGTAAGTGGTCGTTCGCCGTCAGCCTTTGTGGGGTAGGGTTGCTGTAGTTCCGTTACACACCCCGAATCCCTAAACCCTCAAATCCCTGAGCCCGGAAACCCCTGTGCCCTAAGATCCCTAAGCCCTGAACTGGGACAAGTAAGGTGGAGAGTCGGTTGCCGATGGATCTTTCCCCACAGCAACTGGCGAGACCATGCGGAAAATCTGCCGAACTGAATCCCACCATTGCTCAGAATGTTTAGGGTTTCGGGACTTTTGCTTCTCGCAATGTCCTGGGCAACATTCCTGTAACAAGCTCTCCCATTTCCAGCCGGCAGCCCCGCGATTCTAGATCCTTGTGTCTGTTGTGCTCGAGAGTTCGTGAAAGGCGGGTGGAAGAGTAGCGGCAGAAGATGGCTGCGACGTCTCTGACCACGGGTTGCAAGCGTGAAGGGTTTTAGGTCAAAGGGATCGAAACTAAGACAACTCAAACGCATGCGTGCTTGGTATAGCTGCCGCGCGCACAAAGTATGATCTGCTGGCTGCCATTTTGGCTCATAGCTTTGGCCATTCGCCTTGCAGTGACAGAGCTCGTCGTCGCTGGCCCCCCTATCGCTAGTCGTCCAAGGCTCAGGGTTCTGTCAAGACCTCGCCCTTTTTGACACGGGGGGGTTGTTTGAGCCTTCTGCTCTTAACTCCCAAGCTCCAAAGCTCGAAGGCCCTGAGCCCTAAGCTCCAAAAGGCTGTGCGAAAGCTGAGGTAATGAAGTTCTTTGCAGTGCTGGCCTTTGCTTCTGCTAGCTCGGCGGCTGCTGTGGTGGCGGCCTTAAATCCACAGGATCTTGGGAGGCTGGAGGTATCCTTGCCGTGTTTTCGAGCTCGGCACATGTTAGAATTTGAGTGTCTTGCAGTCGCGCCGACTTTTTTCGTGTACAATGTGCAGCTTCTGATGGCTGATGGGAGAATCTTGAAGTGCTCGTGCTCGGTGCACTGACCGAGGTAGCCGGCCGCAGCAAGCTGGGTCGGGGCCTCAGCCGTGTCGGTTTCGGATGATGCGTTGGCTGTGTCCCAAACACACTAAGCCCGACTTCCCAGTCCCCTCGCACACCCAGGCGCCTTGACGAAGGATGATGCGCCAGCCAGCCCCTGGTTGTCCCTGTTGCCTTGTGCTCAGCGGAAGGGACCCTGTTTCAGGCTTTCGGGCTTCCAAGGCTTCAGAGGACGCAGCCGTGCTGGAGGCTCCCAGGCCCCCGTTCGATCTGTGGGGCTTCCTTTGGCGCCTCCGAAGGAGGAGCGGCTCCCCCATACCTCTCTTTCATTTTGCTGCGCAGAAGCTTCTTGTTGTTCGAAGCTTGAACACCCGACCCCAATGCCTCGAACCTCAGGCGTCCGGGAACCCAAAGCCCTAAAGCTCCTTAAAGCATCTTAAACCCCTTAAACTTAACAGAATTCCCACCCTGAACCGTAAACCCTAAACCCTAAACCCGGACCCCCAAGCTTCCCAAGAAGCAGAGGAAGAGGAAGAAGAAGAAGAAGAAGAAGAAGCAGAAGAAGAAGAAGAAGAAGAAGAAGAAGAAGAAGAAGAAGAAGAAGAAGAAGAAGAAGAAGAAGAAGAAGAAGAAGAAGAAGAAGAAGAAGAAGAAGAAGAAGAAGAAGAGACCGAGCAGCTGAGGACCAAAAGCTGGGCACTTCCCGGAGAGCCGCAGGAGGAGCAGAGCCCTTGCCTCGGAAAGTGGGCGCTTTTGTTCTTCTTTTCAGCTTTTGGTGGGTGGCTTAGAGGGGTTTTATAGGATTTCGGGCTCAAGGTTGAGGGTTTGGGGTTTGAAGCCCTGAACTTAAGACCCCGACCCCCCCAAAACCCTAAGCCGGGTGGGGGGGCTTGTCGGGGTCAGGAGGTTGGAGAGTGTCTGGTGTGGCATGGGCCTCTTTGAGGCTTCTTCGAGGTTGCAGCAACAAAACGGGCGCAAAGCCTGAAGTCCCTCAGATTCCGAAACCTCTACACCTCAAGCTAAACCCCTTAAACCACCAAACTCCGAAACCTAAGCTGCTAAACTCCTGAACCCTCAAACCCTAAAGGCCCTGAACCACAGGCAAGGGTCTGGATGTTCTGGCAAGCAGCATTGTCCAGCTGGCGAAGAGGACCTTGCCTGACACAATTCTTGTCCATGGTTTAGGGTGTAGCAGAGTTTGGGGTGCTTGGGGTGTAGGGGTTTGGAGCTCAACCCGTCACCACCTCTCCAAGCCATCTAGACCCCAAACCCTAAACCACCAACCCGCCCCGACCCTAAGCCCGAGTTCCCAACCCCCCCCATGTCCCAGCCCCTGGCAGTCAAAAAGCTGGACAGCCTGCCGACTCCAGCATGGAGGCTGGGGGACCCTTGCCTCGGTCAAACGGAGACTGTGGCCTCGGTTTTAGGGTGTAGGGTGTAGGGTATAGGGTTTAGGGGTGCAGGGTTTAGGGTTTAGTTGGGGGTCTGTGGTGGGGTGGGGGGCCTTCGGGCAGTTCTTGAAGTGTTGGGAGTGTTCAGGGGCTTTTGCGGGGGGGGGGGGGGGGGGGGACATGTGGCCAGGCTGCCATTGACAGCATCAAGGCGATCTTGAAAGACATGCAGGACTTACTTCTCTGAGCCTGAACCAACCCAAAACCCCAACCTTGAAGCACCCTGAGCCCTAAACCCGAAATTGTCTCCACTACGCCCATTTTCAGGAGAGGCCGCTGCTGTCAACCCAAAAGGCCCCTGTCAGCTCTTGGGGTTCTCTGCAAGGACTCAGTCCTCACGGGAAACACGGCCGCCCAGAAGGACGAGTTTCGAGGGTCCGAGGGGTGCCCAGATGCCCTAAGCTTTGGAGCTTTGGGGCTTCTGACGAGGGAACCCATTTTGGAACCCTAGGCTATCATCAGCTGCCCCATCGTTTTCTCAGGAGATCCTGAACCCCTGAACCCCCTCAAACCTCAGGAGATCTTCAAGAAGCAAGCCTCTGTCGCCGCCTGCCCCCCACCGAATGTCACGTGGGCTCCTCAGGTCGTCTCGCATGAACCAGAGGTTCAGGGCAAAGAAGCAGCTGCAGACGAATGTGGGTGTTTCCCAAGCAACAGCAGTGATGTCCGCAGGGTGCGAACATTCTGGGTGAAGACGCGAAGACGTTTTCGCGCGCAAAGACGTGAAGACGCGAGTTGACTTGACGGCATCATCGGCGTCAACGGCGTCAACAGTGTTCCAAGTAACAGCCTCAACAGCTTCAACGTGTCAACAGCGGCAATGAAGACGCAAAGACAAGAAATTCTACAAAAAGAAAAAAGAAAACATGGGAACAAAACGCCATACATTACAAGACGGACAGAATGCGTTGCATCACCAGCCCTCCTGTTCCCGCAGGCAGAAGATCACCTGGGAGGCCGTGCCGTTTCATCTGTATGTATGTATGCATGCATGTATGTGTATGTGTATGTGTATATGTGTATGTGTATGCATATGTCTATGTCTATGTCTATGTGTATGTATATGTACATGTACATGTACATGTATATGTATATGTATATGTGTATGTACATGTATTTTATCACACACATACATATATATATATATATATGTATATATGTATATATATATATATATATATATGTATATATATATATGTATATATATATATGTATATATATATATATGTATATATATATATATATGTACAAGCGCGAGCATACACACGTAATTTACTCATTTACTTATCACGAAAGCTAGCTCTGTGGAGCTGGCGGGAGTTGTCGTTTACCCATGCACTGGTATTCACCTTGTTAAGAAGCTTCCAGGGAAAAAAAGGGTTCCACACCTTAACAGGTCCGAAACCCAAGACTTAAGGTGGGGGTTGGGGGGGGGGGGGCCCCCCCCCCTCACTCCCATGAAGCATTTTCGAAGGATAAGGTGCGGCGGCCCCCCCCCCCCCCCCCTCCTTTAAGGTGGTTGCGCGTGGGATAAGGGAGCGCCCCCCCCCTACCACCTTCAGGTCCCCCCCCCCCACAAGGTCCCCCCCCACCCCCCCCCAAGGTCCTCCCCCGCCCCCCACAGTCACCATGCTCTGAAGGTCTGTGGTACTTTGCAGAGGTCGTACTGAACAGAGCGTCCCTGTACCTAAACTTCGTTTGCGACACGGGGTTCCAGCGGGGGAAGCAAGGGGGCTGAAGGAGTTTAGGGCTTCAGATTTCGAGTTTAGGGGTCTTCGATCTTACCTGACTAACCGGTTGAGGCATGTGCCTGAAATACGGAAAAAGCTGCGCCGGCGGCTCCAAGTCCTGCCGACTCGCTGCCTGCCACCCCCCTGTGGTGACTAGCTTTCGTAGCCCCTTCTCAAGTTTAGTTTGTTTTTTGTTCAGGGGGAGGGTTGGCTGGGTTTCAAGAGTGCGACGTGGCAGGCGAGCCTCAAGGTGACGGTGAAAGATGTGGTCACCTGCAGCCGCTTGGACATCAGAGAAGCGGGTTCCCTCTGCTGCGATTCCCTTCCTTAAAGTGGCTGGTATGCTCTTTACGGAAGATGGCTGGCATTATAATTTGCTTAAAATGGCTGGTCATATCTTTACATAAACTGGTTGGTATTCTTTTTGGGAACTGCCCGGGAAGAGGACCCTTAATTTTGAGGAACCTACCAAATCTCCATGTAGATAGGATCCCCCCCCCCCCCCCCCACTCCAGATGGAGTTCAGTGGGTGCCGAAAGCCTGAGCCCAAACCCTCTTCCGCCTCTTCCGCCATCCAGGGGAGGAAGAGAAGACCTACTACGGCATCGGCCCCAGGGTGGGTTTGGCCCAAGGGTGGATTTGGGGTCATGTTGGGGACTTTGTGGGTTCGTGAGTTTTGCTTTTCCAGGCCTCTGGGTTTCAGGCTTTAGGGATGAAGGCTTAGGGTTGAGGGGTTAGTTTTGGCTTGGGTTTAGGGTTTAGCCTTCAGAGAAGAGCCGGCCCCACTGTGCAGCCCCCGAAAAACGTGACAGGCACGGAAGAGAGCCTGTTGTGGCTTTTAGTGTTTGTGTCTCAGGGCCCTGGAGAACCCGAGGAACTGCGGAGACGTTTAAGGGCTTAGGGTTGAGGGATGTTGAGGGTTTAGGGTAGGGTATGGCGAGAATCTCGCCCAGCATCACATCTTCAGCGGGCATCTCTCCAAGTTGATCTCGTTCTAGCAGTCATTCTGCCCACGGCGCATCCAGCAAAAACTGACACCACGGCGCCCTGGACCTTTCATCCCCAGAACGTAAAGAGAAAGACCCAAAACCGTAAACCCTGAACCCTAGACCCACCACCTGCTCTGAGATTCTTACGAGTCCTGCAAGTCTGAGGAGGTGGGCACTGAGAGGGTTCGGGGATTTAGGGATTAGGGTTTAGGGTTTAGGGTTTGGGGGTTTAGGGGTTTGCGACATGTCTTGCAGAAGGACATGGTGGCTTTGCCACGTAGACTCTTTGAGTTCCCGGAAGTACCTTCAACTGCCCCCTGGTGCAGCAAACTCCCAAGCGCTCTGTGGGAGTTGGATGTTGGTTTTGCCTTGCCAGGAGCGCTGCTCCAACACCACGGAATGCTGCGCCCAGATCATCCAGCCCAACCCATACTGCCTGAGCCCCCCTGTGGGCCCATCGCAGGGAGCTTAGGCTGCATGTGCTGCACGCCGGTTGCCGCTGCGGCTCTTATCTTGTTCTGTTCAGCCGACAACTGCAGGCCGCTTTCTTTGCAGACGACTTGTGATAGCACGCAGGGAGCCTCAGAACATCTCAGAACCCGGGGCTTGGAGCCATGCATCCTCCTTCTTCCTGCCTGAGTAGAGAGCTGCAAGAACTGCCATGAAGCACCCCAAAAGCCCCCCCCCTAAACCCTAAACCCTAAACCCTAAACCCTAAACCCTAAACCCTAAACCCTAAACCCTAAACCCTAAACCCTAAACCCTAAACCCCCCAAAGCTTAGGTCGAAGTGCCGTGAGCGCGACCTCCGCAACCGACTTGGTTTTTTTGAGGCGAAGCTCAAGGAGCCCCTCGGCTGCCTATGTTTTAAGTTAAGGGTTTAGGGTTTAGGGTTTAGGGTTTAGGGTTTAGGGTTTAGGGTTTAGGGTTTAGGGTTTAGGGTTTAGGGCTTGGGGTAAGGTGTACAAGGGGTAACCTTGTCCTAGGAACCCTACACCCTCACGCTCCTTTAAGGTTTGGAGCTTCAGGGGCTTTCGGGTGTTGAGGCTTGAATTCACTTGGGACGTCGGGTTTCCCCGCTCGGCGCCCTGTCCCATAGGTTTCAGGGTTTAGGATTATCTCAGGCTTCCTCGGGTCTCACACTTCTTCACCTTCGGCGTTTTTTGCGGTCTGAAGGGGAGCAGTCGCCTTCAAAAAAGCAGGGCTGAAGGCGAGGGTTGCGGCCTCTGCGGTCTGGAGTCTGAGTCCAGAGTTTTCGTGGGTGTAGCCTCTCGCCCCGGCGAAATGATCCCTGTTGCCTTGTTGTAGAAACCCTCAACCTTAGACCCTAAACCCTAAACCCTAAACCCGAAACCCTAAACCCTAATTAAACCCTAAACCCTAAACCTTAAACCCTAAACCCTAAACCTTAAACCCTAAACCCTAAATCCTACAGAAGCCCCAAGTCGGCAGTCCTGCTTTGTGCCCTTGAAGTGGGGCCAGTTGGGTAGGGTTGCTTCAAACGACCTTCGACAGCGTCCAATCCGAGGTACAACGACGCCTACGCGCTGTGCGAGGGCTCTCGTACAGGTCGGGCGGCTATGCGGCTGTGTGTGTGTGCGGATTGTTCAGTCCGTGAGGAGGTAGGTTGCTATCGGTGTTAGGGTCTCCCGCCGACCCCTAAACCATCCTAAACCCCACAAGCCTCAACATCTTAACAGCAAAAGAGATACATCCTTCATCACTGCACGCTCGGATCTGAAAGCCAAGGAACCCCCGAGCTCTCGGACAAATGTGCAACAAATCCTATGAACTTTGAACCCCTAGTTTAGAACACCCCCTATGTGAGTTGTACCTCCATCAGACTTGTCAGGATGCAACGAAAGCTACGCCTGCCCGGACAAGCGGACCAAGTGGCAGGAGGGGGGTCGATGCGCCACGACGACTCAGGTAAAATAGGGGGATCCTAAACCCTAAACCCTAAACAAGCGCCTCAGAGGCCTTTTTGGGGCCTTTGGGGCCTTTCAGGCGCCTTAGGGGAGTTGGGGTTTTTAATTAGCTTCAGGGTGTCGGGGGGGTCTTTGTCAGGCCTTCAAGGGCTTCCCAAGCACAACTAAAGCCCCTGGCGCCAGGAGAAGCACATGGTGTGCAACACGAACCAGACAGCCTTTGAGGAGGCGCACTCCGGGGCTGACAGGGCCTTGCTTGGCGACCCTACGTTGTCGGGCACTTCCTGGTAGTCCCAAGACCCCACAATCTGAAACGCGTCCCAAGCCCCTGCCGGCCAAAACCTGACGTGCTGCGTAGCGAAGGCATGTGCTGGGTATCTGGCGGGAGGTATTTGAGGTCTCCCTACACCACCCGAGAATCCATCCCGAACCCCCCAACTTGTTGAGGGCTAAGGCGCGTGGCTCGCGGTCTTAGGTGAATCCTTCCGCAGCAGGCCCCAATGTCCAGCCTAAAGTCCAGTTCGGTTTGGGTTCTTGGGGTTGTAGAAGCGCTTGAATCTAGACGGATGAAATTACGACACAACAATTTGTGCATCTCTTATAGAACATTATAGAACATGCTATGTAATATGGAGTTTGAAGCGCTGTGTCAATGCGAGCCGTGAGGCTTACTGCAAGCTGGCGACGGATGTCGAGGCACGTTCTTCGTGGTGGCACCTGGGAGACCCTAGGAGCTGCAGGGGGAGAATACAATTCAGGCAATACGATGCCAGATCATAGAATGTACCGTGTCATATACTATATCATCATCTAGTATAGTTATACATATACATATACATCTTTCTGTATTTAGTATGATGACACCATGTGATCACATCATTGTTCCAAATTGTCATATTAATTAGGTAGCTTTTTGTCATATTCTCATATTATCATACTCTCGTATTATCATATTATCACAGCATCATATTATCATATGATCATATCCACATATGCTCATACGATCATTCTATCAGACTGTCGTACGGCATTGTCATGACATTTTCTGTGATATGGCTATCATTGCTATCTTATTTTCTTGTTGCAGGTTTCTGTCATTCTCTAGGACACGTTTATATCCTACCCCCAATATAGATCCCCAAGCAGTAGGATTCCCTTCCAAAAAGGGCCCCAATAAGGTACCCCTAAAAACCCCTATGTAGAGTGCCCTGAACCCAATACAGTACAACCCCCGGAGCCCCGAACATGTGCTCAAGCCCAAGCTTCCTGGCAGGCGAGCTGGGAGACCTACTCCATCTGCCGCGCACCTACGGTGGTCCATGTACATTTAGAATTATATGCCTTTATAGCGTTATATGAAAAATCTGAGACTGTATTATGGTATGTTCGAGGGGTTTTGGCTGGCTTGGACTTGCTTCGGTTGTGGGCTCATGGTTTCGAGAATCCCCCCCCCCCCCCCCCCTGCGCCTGCGGGCCAGCACTCAGGCTACACGCACAACAAGCAGGCGCTGGTCTCCGAGGAGGACAAGCAGGATGTCCTGCTTGCAGGCCGCCGGCAGGCGCGCCCTCAGAACCCTGTTGCTCCCCAGGCCAAGCACTTCAAAGCCTTCCCATCCACCATCAAGTCCTAAGCCCAAAAGTCCCCGAATCCTGTGCCCCAAAATCCCCCCCGGAGCCCTAAACCCTAAGCGGAGGGGCATTGGGGATCCCTTTTGAAAGGAGTGGCGCGGGCTCGCGAGGATCGAGTGCCTCTTGGGTCCCCCGGCGTGGTCCTGAAGTTGAGAAATTTGGGTTTAGGGTTTAGGGTTTAGGGTTTAGGGTTATTTGGGTTCTCAGGGTGTTTTGGGGTTCGAGGGCTTGAGGGTTTCAGGGTTCTGAGGGGTTTAGGGTTTAGGGTCTAGGGTTCTCGGCCTCTAGGGTCTTAAGGTGTCAGGGTTCTAGGGTTCTAGGTTCTCGGGTCCACTCATTACCCTACAGTAGACCCATGTAGGTTGTTTCGGAAATAGGTACAACGTTGTTGTTATTGTATGATCAAGTATAGGTCCCAATCCCGGTGCTTGCACGCTAAGTCCCTCTTGTCACACGCTCTCGTGTAGAGGCCGCTAAACCAAACTTCGAGGTTCATCCCTACACGCCAACTCATTCAAACCAACTTAAGCTCAAATTTCGAGGTTCAGGGCCTATGGCTCTAAACAATGCAGAATCGTGACATAACCTTGTCTGCGAGGTGCGCTCAAGGCGGCCGTCTCTTTTCTGCAAGGTTGAGGGTTCGGTTTTAGGTTTCAGGGTACCCCTGAACATCAGCATTCAGTTCCACTGGGGCAGTTTGAGTATCTAACCTTATGCTCGGAATCAACACCCTTACGCTAGAGTTCTTCTGTCTGATCTTGGAACCCCGTCTTCCGATTTGCCTGCTCACAGAAAGTCTTTGAAAAGCCTCCGGCCGCGAAGCCCAGCTTAAGGACAAGGAGTCTGCGCTGGACGCCTGCCTCAAGGCGAACCACACGGACGCGGCCAACGCCACGTTGACCCTTTCGAGCCTGGTCTGCATAGCCTGGATGGTTCTGGGCTTCGGGAGCTCAAAAGGGGGGAGGCATCTTCTGGGATCCCGGGAGGGCTTGCAGAATATGTGTCGCCCCCCAAGGTTCCCAACGCGTGAAGCCAACGTCACGACCCTTCAGACCTGCGACGAGAAGCTGGAGTCTCCTGGCACGGAGCCTCTCGCCTTGGAATGGTTTTGGGGTAATCAGGATAAACCCTAAACCCTAAACCCTAAACCCTAAACCCTAAACCCTAAACCCTAAGAACACGGGGGGAGGGGGGGAGGCTCGAGGCATGGTAGGGGGCCTTGTCGCATGTGCCAGCAGACTCGGCCGTGAACCGTCATAGGTTTGTTTCGCTGCGTCAGGGGTACGCATTCAGAACCTGTGGCTGGGGGAAGTCGTGGTGCAACAAAGGCTCTTGTCCAGAGTCCCCGGATTTTGAGTAGATGCCTCTAACCCAAAATTCAGCCCCAAAACTAGACGATCCACCGGCAGCCCGATGCCCTCGGCTAGCTAGGCGGTCTTTCTCGTTGTGTGCTCCTTCCAGTTTGAGATGCCCCGAAACGGGGGGCCCCATCATCTAGATCAATCTCCAACTACACTCCCTAGCCCGAAGCCCCAAACAACCCTAAACCCTAAACCCAAAAACCCTAAACCCTAAACCCTAAACCCTAAACCCTAAACCCTAAACCGTCGAGGTACTTCATGAAGACCTACTACCATCTCATCCCGCCCGTGCTCGTCCCCACGTCCCTGACCACGTACCACTGCGCAGGGCGCCCAGTGGTCACGCAACCATGAATTCGGTTTAGGGTTTAGGGTTTAGGGTTTGGGGTTCAGGGTTTAGGGTTTCAGGGTTCATGGTTTCGGAGATTTTCAGGGTTTCAGGTTTAGCAGGTTCAAGGTTTAGAGTTGAGGGTTTAGGAGGTATGTAGGGGGAGGATTGAATCTGAAAGTGGGTTCCGAGACCACCGAGTCAGGGTCTGGCGCTTGGGCCGCAAGGGCTGTGCGATGGAGCTCCGCTCTAGGGTTTAAGGTATATAGAGCTTACATGCAGCTAAGGCCCTGAACCGAAGTACCCCAAACCCTGAACCATGAACTCTAGACCCAAAGTAGGTCTCAACTCTGAACCCTAGGCACCCTAAGCCTTAGAGGCTCAAAGGGATTCTGCGCCCAGGTGTCGGGCGTGGCGACCAGCCACTGCCCGATCGCTTCAAGTTCCGCTGCCTCCTTGCTTGCAAAGGCCCTTTTCGGGTCAAAGGGTTCAGGGGCCCCTACGCCCTCCGGCCCCGGAAGCCTTGAACCCCCCCCCCCCCCCAAACTCAAAGAACGCCCGACCTCTGAAGCCTGGCGCCTAAAGCTGATTTTGCGTTTGAGGGAGGCCCTAGGTTTGAAGTTCGGAGCTTTCGGGAGCTGAGGGGTTTGGGGATCGGGGCTTCGGATACGTAGGCACTTTTGGTACATGTCTCTCAAAGGGGATCCTGTGCTACTTTCGTGTAAAACAGGGTGGGCAACCTGATTTTGTGAAACGCCGATCTCCCCAAGCATCCCTGGTAAGAGATTTTTTCTCGATCTTTAACAGAATTCTCTGATAACGTCTAGGGTTTGTTTAAGGCCTTGGGGCATGCCCCAAGCCCTGAAGCCTAGCCCGCAAACCCTGAACCGAACCCCTGTGACACCCTACATAGCTGTGCCCGCCCTTCCTGCATGCTGCCTTGGCTGGGAACAGTTTGAGGATCAGAAGTCCATGCGCCTGAAAAGCTTCTTAGGTTGTTTTGGTAGGGAGCCTTGGGCGCTTCAGCGCGGCTGTGGGCTCTTTTGCTTTCGTGCTAAGGGGTGAAAGGACAGCCTTCAGAATCGTCCCGGTTCGTGCCGTTAACCATCACCCCACGCTTTCAGATCCACGGTAACTGAAGTCTTCCATACGCCGAGCCATGTGCGGCATCCTCGCCATCCTCCTGGCGGACCCTTCGGAGCCTGTTAATCAGCTGCTCTTCGACGGGCTCACGGTGCTGCAGCACCGAGGCCCTTTCGGCAAAAGGACCTTCTAAGGAGGCCTCCTACGCCTTGAGCCAACAAAGCCTGAGTCGGCTAAAGCCCTGACTTGTTTTGAGGGTTGAGGGCTTGGGGGGGTGTGGAGCTCTGAAGAAGTGCCAGTGCGTTCTTTAGGCTCATGGTTTTGCTGCTCAGTTAGTTTGTTTTGTGGACTCCGAAGACCCAAACCCTTAGAACTCCCAAGCTACGTCGCCCCAAGCTCCTAAACTCCCAAACACCTAAAGCCTTAAACCCTAAACCCTAAACCCTAAACCCTAAACCCTAAACCCTAAACCCTAAACCCTAAACCCTAAACCCTTATTTGGGCCTTCCGCAGGTCAGGATGCTGCTGGCATGCTCACAGCTGAAGCCAGCAAAGGCCGTTCGGGGACTCCGGGTTTAGAACATAGGGAGGTTCAGGGGTTTTAGGGGGTTTTAGGGGGTTTTAGGTTTAGAACATAGGGAGGTTCAGGGGCTTTAGGGGGTTTTAGGGGGTTTTAGGGGGTTTTAGGGGGTTTTAGGGGGTTTGTAGGGGGTTTTAGGGGGGTTTTAGGGGGTGTTAGGGGTTTGTAGGGGTTGTAGGGGGTTTTAGGGGTTTTAGGGGTTCAGGGGTTTAGGGGTTCAGGCGCTTAGGGGTTTAGGGGTTTAGGGATTTAGGGGGTTTAGGGCTGGATGTTTAGGGGTTGAGGCTGGGGAGGGGGCTACTCTGTCACTGAGTTGCGCAGCAGCGCTTGCAATGCATACTTTTGAAGCCCTAAAGGGCCCTAAACCTCAAGACCCGCAGAACCCTTCAAACCCCGCAGGCCGAACGCACCTGCACAAGGGGAATGGCCTTGTCAAGGACGTCTTCTTCGAGGTGGCAGAGTTTCAGGCTTAGAAGTTTAGGGTTTCGGCTTCGGGTGTTTAAATCGGGGCAGGCTCTCCATGTTGTCGTGCATGCTGCAGCAATAGTTGCTGTGACCGCCTGTTGCCTCAAGAAGGCTGGCAAGACCCTGAATCCGAAACCCTAAACCCACATCCCCCCGACCCCACACTCCCAAAAAGCCCTAAACGGTAAATCCTAAAACCTAAACCTAAAAACCCTAAACCCTAAACCCTAAACCCTAAACCCGAAACCCTAACCCCGAAACCCTAAACCCTAAACCTTGACTAAGCCTGCCAGGGGCACATGATGCAACTCCAGGGCCACTTGGGAGTGGCGCACTGCCGGCACCCTGGCCCCTGAATTTAGCGCTTCTTGGGGTTTTAGGGTTGGGGGTTGAGAGCTTGTTGGGGTTCAGGGCTCAGGGAGTAGGGCTTAGGGTTTAGGGTTTGGGTTCTCGTTTAAAGTTTTTTCGGATTTAGGGGTTGGGTGTTACAGGGTTTCGGGCTTGAGCTTCAAGGGCCGATAGGCTTGAGGGATTCAGGGTCTAGGGGATGTCGGTGTTTAGGGTAGAGGGGTGGTTTCGGGATTGGCGCTCAAGTGTTCAGGCTCAGGTGCACGGTTCAGGGGTTTAGGAGGAGGGTTCTGGGGTTTGACTCACAACCCGAAACCCCAAATCCCTAACCCCTAAACCCTAAACCCTAAATCCTAAGCCTGAGCTGGGGTGCCAGTAGAATTTCAGGATCCCTTGCTCCTCAAGTAACCCTCGTGATACATACTTCCTTGGGCGTAGCTGCGTTCGAGAATTATATTCCGTCTTCGAGGATGCCCTCGGCAGCGGGTAGAAGTCCCCGAGCCCCCATCACCCGAAACCATAGTAACCCTAAGCCCTGAACCCTGAACCCTAAACCCTAAACCCTAAACCCTAAACCAACCCCCCCCCCCCCCCCCCCCCCCAAATGCCAGAGCCTGAGCCGCAAGCCCCCAAAGCCCGGATCCTGGAGCCGACACCAAAGGTATCCCACGGCCGGGACCAAGAGCTGCAAAGAGGCACTCTTATTCTTATGGGAGTTTCCACCAGTTAGGGTGCAGGGTTTAGGGTGCCGAGCTTCCATCAAGTCCCCCTTTGCAAATATAGTAGAATCCAGGAGTGAGTCGGAATGAGCTGTGACATTCTGGTAACATGTCGCCTTTTGGTGTAGAAGCCTATGGCCGACGTCACCCTCGTCCATAAGGGCTCCATACTGTCCACCGTCTACCACAGAGTTGTTGAGCTAGTGCACTCCCCTGCCCCTTCAAGCGCTAGGCGCAGGCCCGCCAGAACTTGAAACCCCGGGCGGGTGGAGGCTCAGCCCTTCTACGGCAACTATCCCTTTGGCTTGGCTTGCGCTCACAATGGCAGCCTCTCCTGATTTGGAAGCACTTTGAAAGTTCTATGGGCCCTAAACCCCAAACCCTAAGTCCCAAGCCCCGTTCTTGAATGGATCGCCAAGAATGCAGAACCCGCTTTGGCGAGCATGTCCGAGCATGCTCCCGCGCACAAGCTGACGCCTTAAACTTAAGACACCTAAGTTCTATAAGCCCCCCCGAAGACCAATTAACTGAACCCTAAACCTTAAAACCGTCAGGTAACCTAACCAACGTTGCTGATCTTCGGCAGCACGTTCGCAAGAGCCGATGGCATGCCAATACGGAGTCAGACTTCGGGCTGCAAATCATATGGGGTAAGGTTTCCGAAAAAAGGGGTACCTTCTCGGGGTCCTTGTAGGTCCCCCATTCTCGCAAGCCCCCATATGGGTAGTTCGCTAAACTAGGGTTTAGAGTTTCGGGTTGACGGTCGCCCTAAACCCGTTTGGCTCCCCTATAGAGGACCAGCAGATTTGAGCACTAGAGGAAGGGTTTAGGGAGGGCTTTGGGGTTGGAATCACCTGACATGAATACTTCCGGCTTGCATGGGCCGCTTGCCTTCTTGGAGCGCCGTAAAGATTTGCTTTCTGGCTGCCGTTGTGCTCTCAAACGGCCTCTTCAAGCCCCCCCCCCCTCCATATTTCCCCGTCAGGATCCACCCATGCCCTTGAACCCCGCGCGTTAGGATACCGAGCTCCTGCTGCACACCTTTGCGAACGCCTTGGCGGCTGCGGTGCCGCCGGACGCGTTGCAACCCTCCGTGGAGCAGATCTTCCAAGCGGCAGCAGAGGCTTTAGACCGTGTCCTTGTTGTCCCGTTCAGGTGGTTCCTATGATGCAATACGGCGGTACTCCAAAAAGGATTTATGATTCAGAATTGTCATCGTAGCAGGTCCCTTCAGGTGAGTCATGCCCTTTGTTGAAGTCTGTGATTCCTGGCGGGTGACCTGCGCGGTTGAGTCAGAGAGAGCTCGCCCAAAGAAGCAGCCTTGCTTGATAGCAGCTCCTGCAACTCGCCAGGTCATGAAGATTGCCAAGGGCGGCTACAGTGTTGTCATGCTCATTACAGGGGCCGGCATCTTGGCTTTTCGGGATGTCTACGGCATCCGGCCGCTGGTGATCGGTCGGCGGACAGAGGGGCCCAACGCAGACTACATAGCAGCTTCAGGCGCGTTGCTTATAGCACATGCGAGCGGATGACCAAGCAGGCTTAGGCATCTTTCTTGCTTAGGCATCTCCCATAACTCAGGTGCTGTACTGTGCATGTTGTGCATTTATGTAGCCACGCTGGTTCCCTGAGAGTCGGTGGTGATGGATACCCTTGGCTTCGACGTGCTGCGCGACGTGGATCCGGGCGAGGCCTTCTTCTTCGACAGCCGCAGCAACTGCATGTCAACAAAGCAGTGCTTCTACCAGAACACAGTCCCCAGACTGGTGCCCTGCATCTTCGAGTACGTGTACTTCGCACGGCCCGACTCGACCCCTGGTTATGTTTGGGCTCCCTGCAGGGCCGTCCCCAACGCCATCAACCAACAGCCCTGAGCACCGAAACCCTAAACCCCCCAAGCCCTAAGCCCTAAACCCTAAACCCTAAGCCCAAAACCCTAAACCCTAAACCCTAAACTCCCCAAACCCTTGTGAAAACCCTAAGCCCCCTTCAAAACGAAAGGACCATGGACGGGGTGTCGGTGTACGAGTCAAGGGTCCGGATGGGCCAAAGCCTGGCTCGGCGGGTGCAGCAGGTGGCTGACTGGCAGGACGTTCGTGAAAAAACTCCTAAAGTCCTATTAAACTCCGAAGCCCTCAAGGCCCCAAACCCTGCATCCCTAAAGGCCCTAAAGGCCCTAAACTCCTCAAGCCCCTTGAGTTTCCCTCTAAGGTTTAGGGTTTTACCCCCCAAGCTCCCCAGCCTCAGTTTTTTTTTTTCAGTCCCACAACCCTGCCACCCCCCGTCGGCTGAAGCCCTGTTCCCTTGAGCCCCTCCAGGAGATTGATGTGGTCATCCCCATCCCCGACACCTCCCGCACTACGGCCATCGAGACAGCCTACATCCTGCAGAGGCCCTGCCGGGAGGCCTTCCAGAAGAACAGGTCCGGGGGGGCCCCTCTTCTAACTTGTTTTCAATTCTGAGAGGGCCTCTGAGGGTGTAGGTTTTTTTTAGTATCCAAGGTTTCGTTTCCTTTTCAAAAGGTTCAGGCGTTTCACCTCCACTTGGTGCTGTGAGCCGGGGGTCATCTTACTCCGAGTCCAGTAAGTTCAGAAATCGGGGGTCTCTGAGGACAATCAGAGTCCCAGAGGTACATCGCCCGGACCTTCATCATGCCTGGGCAGCAGAAGAGGAGGAAAACGATGAGGCTGAAGCTCAACACCATCCGAAGCGAGTTCAAGGGGAAGAAGGCCATGGCTTGCCAGACTTGTGGTGGGGGTTTAGGGGGTTACAGTAGGGGTTTAGGGTTTAGGGGTTGAGGGGTTTGGGGGTTTAGGGATTTATGTAGGGGTTTAGCGGTTTAGGGGTTTAGGGGTTTAGGGGCGTTAGGGGTTTAGGGGTTTGGGGTGCGACCCACTGTCTTCGTCCTTGAGAACTTCTCTCGGAGGTGCTTTTGGTGGATGACTCCATCGTCCGCCGGGTGCCCAGATTTGGCCGAGTGAGTTGAGGGTGCCGGGGTCCTCGAGCCTGCATCTGCGGAAGCACCTAAGGCCTACCCTCTGAACCTTTGTTTAAATTATAGGGTTTAGGGTTTAGGGTTTAGGGTTCAGGGTTCAGGGTTTAGGGCTTAGGATCTTGCAGGGTTCGGGCTGTGATTCTGGCACGGCTGCCTCTCGTCATCTATTCCGTCGCCTGCTTTCGAAGCAGAACCCTACTCTCTAAAGTCTCCAGGTGGCACCACCTGCAACGAGATCATTCAGATGGCCCGGGAGGCTCTGGGCTTCCTCATGGGTTGCGGGCTTTGATGATCCTGGGCAGATTGGGCTGTGATCCTTAGGAAGGAGGGTCTTGATCTTAGGGTCTCAGATTCACGGCGCCTTTCCCAACCTTTTGAGGTCTCAAAGTTTTTTTGCGCATCCTTGCCGCCCAAGCGGCGGCTTGTCAATGGCAATGTTGGACACGTAGTTCCTGCTTGCGGGGTTCATTGAGGTGGTAAGGGTACCTGTCACAATCCTAAATTCTCAGCCCTAAACCCCCAAAGCCCGAAACCCTGAATCCTAAACCCTAAACCCTCAAGCCTGGGTGAGAAACAGTCTGTGTGGACTCTCCGCAGGCTGGCGCCAGCAAGGTCTTCTTCGCATCGGCGGCGCCCGCCGTGCGCTTCCCCAATGTCAGCTGTTGCGAAATTAGCAGACAGCTTTTCGTATTTCGGGCCTTCGGGCATGGGTTTGGGGTTTAGGGTCAGTAGCCAAAGGTTTAGGGTTTAGGGTCAGTAGCCAAAGGTTTACGGGTTTAGGGCCAGTAGCCAAAGGTTTACGGTTTAGGGTCAGTAGTTAAAGGTGATGCAAGAGGGGTGTGGTACTGCAGGATTGGAGTTTTTCTGCTTGCTCGCGGCGTGTGAGATGCGCTGAGGTTTATGGTATCGACCTCCCTAGGAAGGAAGACCTGATTGCCAACGGCCGGGACGAGGACCATCGTGATTCCGAGTCTGCTTGCTATGATGATGTCTGATTCTAGTATGCGACCTTTATTTTGATTCAGTGCCTTCACTCTTATGAGTACCATTCCTGCTACTACCACATTCCTGTTTACGGTTGCTCTGACCATCTTGTGGTCTTGTGGGTCCTGGGGTCTCAGAGGAGATTCAAAAGATATTTCATGAGAAAAAATCGTGAGGTACCCCTAGCTGCTTAGGCTTATAGTGCCACTATGAATCGCAAAAAAGACATCTATCAAAAAAGTACATATATAAGTACAATGAATGTATCTTTATATGTACAAGTACACTATGTTTTAAGGGGTTATAGGTCTGTAGTCGAACAGTCGCGCAGCCTGAGACAGGTTGCGGTCGCCAAGCTGATCGGCGCCGACTGGGTGGTCTATCAAGATCTGGCGGACCTGGTGCAGGGAGTTCTTTACAAAAGACTCACAAACCTGCTTCAAACTTGCGCGAGCATCCCCTGTTCCTCTTCACCCTCCAGTGGAATTCAGTAGGACTGACCCAAAGCCCTCTAAACCCTAAACCCTAAACCCTAAACCCTAAACCCTAAACCCTAAACCCTAAACCCTAAACCCTGAACCCTGAACCCTGAACCCTGAACCCTGAACCCTGAACCCTGAACCCTGAACCCTGAACCCTCAAGCCTAAGCCCTTCAGGTCGAGTGCGTGCGTGGCCTGAACCCCGAGCGCCTTTGCTTCGGCTTCGACGCCTCGGTCTTCGATGGCCGCTACATCACTGGAGCGGCGTTTGGGTTTAGGGTTTAGGGTTTAGGGTTCAGGGTTTAGTGTTTAGGGTTTAGGGTTAGAAGTAGGACGGGTAGGAGATCGAGTTTAGCGGGATATGGGTTGCATGCGGGTCGGGGACGCTGCCATCGTTCTTGGTGGGTTTTGGGGGGTTTTTCGGTTCGAGACAAGGACAGCCGTGTTTTGTGTCTCGTGGCTTCGTGGCCACAGTGTTGCGGGGTCGATGGTTGAGGCTAAAGACCCCAACAACAAACTTTGACGGCCTCCAAGCCCCCAACCATATTACATTCGCTTCTTGTCTTGTGCTCAAGCTGTGAAGAGCGTATTGCTGCATCCCTGCAGAACAAATCTTGTCTCGCTAAGGAATCGCACCCAAAAGCTGTTGTTTGCTCTGCTCAGACCGCCCTGACATTGATGTGTAGGGGTGCGTAGTTTTTTGGGTGGAGACGCGAAGGGAAGACGCGACTTTCCGCACGAAGGCTCGAACACGCAAGGACGTGATAACGGCGCCAAGGGCGTCAACGGCGTCAAGCGGCGTCAGCGGTGTCAGCTGCGTCAGCAGCGACGTCAGTGGCATCAACGGCGTCAACGGCGTTAATGGCGTCAGCGGCGTCAATGGCTTCAACGGCTTCAACGCCGGTGTCACCCGAACTCTCGGCGCCAGCGGCTTTATAGATTCACTTCGTCAACGGCTTCAAGGGCTTCAGCCAAAATCATGTGCTCTCTGTGGACGTCGCTGGGCCGTTTTGGGTGCCCTCACTCAAACCCTCAACATCGAGGCCTTCAATGAACCTCCCCTCCCCCACAAAAAAAACATGTCCTGGACCTCTTGGCAGGAGATGTCGATCAGAAGTTGCGTGGCTGCATTTTTGTTTTGTTGCTGCCGTGGAAGTGGAGGGTCAGCTTTGGGGCTTTAGGAGTTCGGGCCGAGTTCGAGTTCAGGGTAGAAGAGCATTTCGGGGTGTGCTCCCTGGAGGTTCTTCGAGCTGCAATCGCGTCGTGAGCAGCTGCAAGAGACCCCGAGCCTCTCCGTTCCAATCGGCGTCTCCCAGTCGGTTTCGGAGCTGGATGAGCAAGTGCTCGATCACCTGTCTGGTCAGGGTGCCCTTGCGACGGTCTTTCAAAGTTAGGGCTCCATGTCCCCCTGGGTAAAGGCTTCAGACCGTCTGCAAGACTACGCAAGGCACGGCGAAGGAAAATGGGGGTTTACGAAAACAAGGGGCCCCTAATATCGACCTCAAATCGTAGGATTCCCTGATAATAAGGACCCCAATAAGGTACCCCCCTATGTTCGTAAACCCCCAAGTGACTCAAGACAAAGATGCTTGACCGGAGCCGCACAGGGAGGATGTAATGATCCTCTGGGATCTGGAGGCACTAAACCCTGAACCCTGGACCCTGAACACTAAACCCTAAGCCCCAAGCCCCAAACCCTAAACCCTAAACCCTAAACCCCAAACCAATCCTGAACTTTGGTCCTAAAACCAATCCTAAACCCCAACACCCTGAACCCTAAACCTCTCAAAGCCAGCCCCCGCCGTCAGCTCCTGGGGTGGAATGGTTTCTGCTCCTACGCCGGGCATCGGCAGGAAAAAGCGAAGAATTTGGGGTATGGGACTTTCAGAAAGCGCGGCATTTTTCCCAAAGAACGGGTCCAATTTTTTGATGGCTTGCTCAGCAGGATCCTATACATATATGTATATGTATATGTATCTGTATATGTATATGTGTACGTATATGTGTATGTAAGAACCGCCTCTTTGCAGGGCCACTACATGCCCCGCCCGCGCTGGGGCTCCATTGCGCACGCCTAAGAAGGCCCCGCTTCCTGGGAGGCCGCCTGGCGTGCAGACGCAGGTTTAGGGTTTAGGGTTTAGGGTTTAGGGTTTAGGGTTTAGGGTTTAGGGTTTAGGGTTTAGGGTTTAGGGTTTAGGGTTTAGGGTTTAGGGTTTAGGGTGCTTTCTGAAGGTTTGGGGGTTCAGGGATGTTTTAAGGTTTAGTTTGCGGTTGGGTGTTTGGGTGTTTGGACGCCGCTATGTTTCCACGACGCTCAGCCCAACGCTGGGTCATATCATAATTTGGCAGTCGCAGGTAGGTTTGGAGGTATTTGTGGCTTTGGATCAATGCAGGAGGTCTAGCGATGCCTGCTTAAGTCGATTCCTTGAGTCGCTGCCTGTACATTTGTGAACCAAGTCACACCTCGAAGCTGAGCAAAGCAGGGCTCATTCAGAGTGTCCGAGGTGAGCTGAGCATGGAAGAAGAGCCAGCACGCCCGGCTGCAGTCAAAAGTGTGGACCTTCTCTCCGTTGGGCTGAGTGCCATAATATGATCAGCCGCCACATGTAAGTTTTCTTCCCGGGCTGCTGTGCAAGGCCATTGAGCACGCTCTTCGGTAGAGTCGCAGCAGATATTCAATTACGACTGAATCCTTGCGCGGAAGGACGTAGAGTTAGCACGGCTTCAGCATTGATGGGGTGCTTCTGCAAGAAACTTTCACACAGGTCTAATGTTGGACCAGGACCTCAATCTCCCTCAGCCTTAATCCAAAGTCCTAAGTCCTAAACCCAAAAACCCTTTGCCCCTAGGCCCGGAGCCCAAAATGCCTTCTAAGTCTTGCACGCCCAAGAGCCACCCCAAATCCCTCCAAATCCACCTCCCCCCCCCCCCCTCCCCCGCAACCCGAAAGCCCCAGCAAAAGCCCTGCGCAGACGAGGGCTCAAGCTTTCATGGAGCCCGGCCACTGGCCCCGCACCTCTGTGTGCCAGTTCGGTGGGGCGTAGACGCCATGATTGACGGGAGGCGCAGGGGCACTGTAAACTAACATGGGTTTCGCAGAGGGTTCTGGAGTATGGCCCGCACGCCGCCCTTATATAGCCGTTTAGGGGTCCCTGAAAAGGGTCCCCCTAAGCCCTTTTCTAATCCCCTCAACCCCAAAACCCACGTTGGGCTTCAGGGCGTAGCTATTCATGCCGTTCTCCCTACCCAAGAACCTCATGCCCCAAATGCTCAAGCGCGGGATGCAACTTAAGCCCCTTTAATGAAAGCCCCAAACCTCTTCAACACCCGGTTAATGCCCCCCCCCCCCTTGAAAACCCCTTTCGCAGACCCTTAAAAAACTCTTTATCAAGCACCGGCTGACAATCTTACAGCCTCCCCCCCCTTTGTGTTTTCATAATTCTTAGTAAAAGCAAACCACCCGAAATTCCAAGCCTGCGAGGCCTGGTCAGCCTCAGCCCCGTCTCGCGCACCTCTCAGTTTCAGCTTGGGGGGGTTGTTGTTTCCTCTCAGTTTCAGCTTGGGGGGGTTTTGGAGGCGTTTTTGAGCAGGTTCGGGGTTGAGGGGGCGGGGGGGGTGGGGGGTTGGGTGTGGGGGTTGAGGGGGGTGGCGTTGGAGGTTCGAGTGGGTTTGAGGGTTTTCTGGGGTTGTTGAGGGCTTTAGGGTAGTTGAGGGATGAGGGTTGAGGGGGTCAGGGTTTTTGCGAGGATTCGTGTATGCTCTTGGCTTGATGCGCTTGAAGGGATTCAGGGTTTAGCGCTTTTGGGCTTTTTCGGACTTAGGGGTTTTTGAAGGGGTTGAGGGTACATGGATAAGGTTAGGGTCCAGGGGTTGAGTGTTTAGAGTTTCAGCGTGTTTAGTGTGAAGTGTTGAGGGTTTGGTGTTTAGGGTTTCGTTGGGGCTTCGGGTTGGGGTCAGGGTTCGGCCTGCTGAAGAAGTTGGGCGAAGGAGGGATGTGAGCATCTTCATGAGCGGATTGGCATGTCGTTTCGCAGCCACAGCCGGAAGTGGGCCGTAAGCCTGCAACACACATGCGCAGCCCTCTACATTAGAGAAACAGGCACTCCTGTAATAAGTTGGGATGTTCCCCCTTGTGCTAACAGTCCCCTTAATAGGGGTGACAGTACCCCTACTATAATCCCTGAGTATAAGGGGGATCATCCCAAGTAGTAAGACCCTAAGTTCAGCGAACCAACCCAGTTCGACACGCCGAAGCCATCAAGTCGTCGTTGCGAGGTTGTCCACAATACTTTCCTGGAGCTCGATGACAAGCAGGCCATGCTGCCCACCTCCCGACTGAGGGTTTAGGGTTTAGGGTCTAGGGTTTAGGGTTTAGGGTTAGGGTTTAGGGTTTAGGGCTTAGGGTTAGAGTTTAGGGTTTAGGGTTTAGGGTTTAGGGTTTAGGGTTTAGGGTTTAGGGTTTAGGGTTGAGCAGGACTTGTAGCCTCGGCCTTTCTCGTAGAGAACCCTTTCAGGACGCTGGCCGAGGCGGCCGCCCGAGGGCTCAAACTGCTCCGCCCCTACCGCTGGGAGTCAGGGGGGCTTCGTGAGATGTGCGGGTTCAAGGTTGAAGGGATTTAGGGTTTTCGGCTTCAGGGTTTTACGGTTTTTGTGTTTCGGGGTGTAGGGCAGTTTCTGTCAGGGTGCTGGGAGACAGAAGTTGGGACCGGGTTTGTGCTTGCAGGGCAGCAGGCTAGCTATTGGTGGGCGCACATGCCGACACGTTGGGTTGATAAGCCCTGTGCCCTTAACATTAAGCCATGAGCCCCAGACAACCCTAAACCATAATTTTTAATCTGGACCCTCACCTGCAAGTACCCAAGCTACTTTGTGTCATCTAAACCCCCAGAAACCCTTACGCCCGAGGATATCACGGAGAGAAAAGTCCCGCGTAAAGTCTCCTACCACGTGGACGAAGCTCAGTCGGGGGCTTAACGCCTGAACCTGCTGGGAATGAAGGAATGAGTAGTACCTTGTATCCCCCTATAGACTTCCCTTTAAGGATCAAAATAAGGTGCCCCAGTTCCCTCATTCTCTCTTAAGAGCCAGTAGGCTAAACTCCAAAGCCTGAACACGTGGAGCCCAGGCATGTGTAGATTTAGGTTGAGGGGCTGAGGGGGTTAAGGGCTTGTAGGGCTTCAGGGTTTAACCCTCAACCTTAAACCCCAAGCCCCAAACCCTAAACCCCAAACCCTAAACCCCAGTTTGAGCGGCTCAGGGGGTGTCGGGTTGGGCGGCGGAGGTTTGAGGGTGAGGTTGGCTCTCGCCCTTCGGATCGAGATCTTTGCGTTTTACCTGGCACTACTCGATGCTTATGCGATTTCGCTCTTTTTCTCCTAGATAGGATACGGGGGACCCTTAAACGGGAGCTTCTTAGCCCTCTCCTGGCTCTCTTAAGCAGGGACCTTATTCAGAGGGTCTATATCCCCAAGGTCCCCCTAAAATTGAATGCTCTCTTCCTACTGTTCGGGGCCTTGCCCGGTACAATCAGGGTCTTCAGGTTTTCGCTTTAGGCTTCGAAGGAACCCGCGGCTATCCACCAGCGACCTGCACAGGGCTGAAAAGAAACTTCGTCGGTTTAGGGTTTAGGGTTTAGGGTTTAGGGTTTAGGGTTTAGGGTTTAGGGAGTCGATTGGTCATCCATGTTGAGAAGCGATGCCAACTGAACAGGCAGATGATTGAGGAAAGCCCGTCACAGGCTCAGACTCATGGGATGACCCCAATAACCCCTCAGCCGGAAGCAAGCCTCAGCCTGCCTAGCACGCACGTCGCTAGTTCTCTCCGATGATTACTATCACGATTATTCTGACTATGATTACTATGATGTTCGTGCTGATTATATTGTTATGAGTCTTATTCTGACTATTCTTGCTATGATTCTTACTCTGCTTATGTACTATGAGGTGAGTATTCGTGTGTCTTCTGCTGGAATGTAGCCCGGGCCCCAAGGTCCGGCTTCCCGAAGCTCGGCCCGCTCTCTGAGGACCCGGCGAGTTGGGTTTCAGGGTTTAGGGTTTAGGGTTTAGGGTTTTCCTAAACCCTACCTGAGCAGCTTCCTAAGGCGGCCCCCCAGAAAGGGAACTTTAACCCAAACAACTACGGTCTTCTCCTTGAAAATCGAAGAGAAGCCTGCGAGACCTCCATTTGACAATTATGCTCGCAAGCTCGATCGTACTCATAATCGTAATCATCCTAGTCGCAATCAGAACAACACGAAACAGTCGTAGCTATTTAAATGCGAACAATCTTAATGACCAGAAACATGATAATCTTAATCAGATCCATGTAGCTCATAGGGATGATTCTAGGCACGAATCACTACATGCTCGTAAACGGTGTTTTCGGGGTTAGGGCT